CGGATAATCTTTGTCCTTTTCAGAAAGGCTTTTCATCTTTGAATAGCCAATGATTAAAAGCGGAGGGAAAGAGAGTGAGAAATAGATGGAGCGATAGATGCAGAGTGAGAGTGAGGCGTATCTTTCTATTTTAGACGTTTCGCTCTGCTATCTCCAGGAAGTAGGTTCTGTGTGTGAGTCCTGAAGTCCGCTCGGGAAGCTCGGTTCCAGGCATCAGTCGGGCTCACGTGGCTGTGTTGTTGTTATTTTTCTGGCACCTGGAAACGGTGGAGGGAGGGATTTTGAGCCAAGGCTGCTGACAAAGCTTTAATGGGTTAAATTAGACAAGTCTCTCGCGTGCATGTCTGTGAACTAAGCTTAGAAAGATAGAAAATAACGAACTAACTAACATCATCACAAATATGATTAATATTTAATTCTTAAATGCAAAACATTAAATTGAAGTGTTGCCACTAGCATCAAAACTGATTGTTTACAAACACATAGATAGTCCCGCCCCTAAAGCTACGCCATTGGTCGAGTCACTGTTGCTGTGACAGGCTGGTTGGGATGTGGGAATAAACTCCATCCTTGTTATCCCCGGGATAACTTCCTGTGCAAATCTATTGCGTTGTCTGTAACATTTTCATTCAGTGCATATATCTATACAAGACTATCTTTCTTTATTGCTCTATTTTCCAAGAAACTTGTCTTCATTTCCTGCTGTAGCTTTTGCTTTGATACTGAGGAGAGATGGCAGTGCTGTAGCGATAGCCTTTTTATCAAAGAAACATCTCTCTCTTTCTTTCTCTCTCTCCTCCCCCTCTCCCTCTCCCTCACCTTCGTGCTGTTGTCTAATCCAGCTTGTGAATCACATGCCGTGACCAGGCGTGTGTGTGCGAGAGTGTTTGTGTGTCATGGTGCCGACCCAAGAGAGCTTTTTCTCCGTTAATCATTCATTTTCCCGATCAATGTTTCCTCAGACCCTAAATAAACACTTCATTTATTTTATAATCCCTAATATATATCTGTCACTGCTCTGTTCCACTTTGTCTTACTTTCCTGCCACATACATTGCTCCAGTAAACATATCAAGCACTCCGTGTGTGAATTTTAACTGTTCAAAAGCTTTTTTAAGAAATAAGTACTGTATTCTCTAAGGATGCATTAAATTGATCAAAGGCAGTAAAGACATTTCTAATGTTACAAAAGATTTCTATTTCAAATAAATGCTGTTCTTTTGAACTTTTTATTTCTCAAACAATCCTGAGAAATAAAATCATGTTTCAAAAATAATAAATAGCCCAATATGTTCAACATTGACAATATGAACAATAAGAATGTTCTTGGGAAGCAAATCAGCATATTACAATGATTTCTGAAGGATCATGTGACACTGAAGACTAATGTAATGGATTCAATATTATTAATATTAAAACGTTAGTTTACATAATGTTTCACAATATTGCTGTTTTTTCAAATAAATTTTTTTGTTTCAAATAAAAGAGACTTTTAAAAAATGTTACCTACGCTAAACATTTAAACGGTAATGTATATTAATATTTTTAATATATATGACTTTTATTCTTATGTAAAACACAAAAGAAGATATTTTGAATGTTTCCCATACAGTGAAAGTCAGTGACTTTCCACATATGGACAAAATTAAAACTAAATAATGAAACAAAATATCTTCTTTTGTGTTCCTCAAAAGAAGTTATCATTGCATGAAGCTATTGTGTGTGTGTGTGTGTGTGTGTGTGTGTGTGTGTGTTTGCGTGAGCATGAATTGTTTTTAAGTCTAAATGTTCCATTCTGTTTTAGGTGAGGTGTACAGGGACACACTTATTTGTGTACATTGATCACACCTCAGGTTTACCAGTCACATTTGAGACAATTATTATGCGACAAAAACAGCTAAAGCATTCGGTGTTGTGAAAATCTTATACATACATTATATATGACTCGTCTGTGTATTGGTTTAAGACTTATTGTGCACTTTATAGTTTGCATAAATGCACGCAAGCTCTATTTTATAATCATGGATGTTATCAATTCAAGAGAGAAAATGTCTTTTCATATATAGTCAATACATAAAAATGAACAGGCAAGCAGGTATAGCTTTGCACAGCGGTGAGTTGAAATGACACGTTATGCTCGGGAAATGATAGCTACATTTGTGTAATGTGTTTAAAATTGCTGTGGAAAATGTGTTACTGTACAGGGAAGAAGGAGAGGCACTTATACCAATTGGCATCTGTCAGTAAGGTCACATCGAGCTGCTCATAGCACAGTGACGACAAAAGATGTTCACAAACCGGCAACATTCAAGGCCATTACTGAGGGCCCTTCAGCGCTTGCCTTTTTATCAACAAATCATCTCTCGCTTGCTCTTCCCTTCTTCTTTTTGTGTCAAAATTCATCAAAATATATAATTAAATTGCAGATTAGTTCTGGCCGATATAGCAAATATTCACAATGTGTTTGAAAAGTTTTTGCTGACAAAAAATTTAATTACCCAACAGTATGAATATCAGTTATTTTAATGCACTTTGTATTTGATTATAAAGTTTCCACGTCATGAGACTAATTTCGCAATCCCTCCTTCTATTGTGACAAGTACTAGTTTTAGAGTTGATAGATTCAAGACTTTAATTATTATGAATCACTTCAAACTGCTTCAGTGAACTAATTCAAAACGGTTCATTTGTGTCTTCAAAAATTGATGTAGATAAATTGAAAAACACAACCATATATATTACACTACTGTTCAAAAGTTATACTGTTATACTGTTAATTTTTTTAAACAAGAATATTGTGATAAAATATTGTGTAAGGATGCATTAAATCAATAAAAAGTGACAGTATAGACATTTATAATGTTTAAAAAGCTTTTTATTTCAACTAAATGTTGTACTATTGAACTTTCTATTCATCATAGAATCAAAAAATATAAATAAAAAAATCAATGTTTCCACAAAAATATTACAAAGCACAAATGTTTAAACAATGGTAGTAATAAGAAATTATTTCTGAAGGATCATGTGATACTCAAAACTGGAATAATAGCTGCTAAGAATTTAGCTTTCCCATCACAGAAATAAATGACTTTTTAAAATATACGAAAATAGAAAAGTTATTTTAAATTGTGTATATATATATTCAATCAAACTGCACTTGGGTTATTTTGATTAGGTTAAAAAATAACAAAAAATACAGCTAACTAACACAATAAAACACAATAAAAACATGATAACATTATAAAAAACATGATTTTTAAAAATTAAAAAAGCGGAGTTATCTGTTTTTGCAAATAAACTCTTCATATTTTACATTTTATTTATTTTGAATTCAATAAATGCAGCCTTATTGAGCACAAGAAACGTCACGGTTACGTATGGTAACCCTCGTTCCCTGAAGGAGGGAATGGAGACGTCATGTCGGTGACCGACGAATTGGGATATCGTTTCGATAGACCAATCCACTTCGAGTGTAAACTAAACGAGCCAATGCACATTTGCATGCAATTATTGCATCCAGCTGCCACTGATCACAGCGTGAGCATAATAAGGCAGCAGGTGCAATGCATACCAGGTTTTCGCTGAGGAGCCGAGCCGGCGACCCGGCCGCTCAGCGGTGGTACAGCAACCGTGGCGACGGGACGTGACGTCTCCGTTCCCTCCTTCAGG